CAAATACATTGAGGATGACTTTTTGAATATCTTTATACACTTTCAAGTTATTTATTCTATCTGATGTGAATGAGCCATAGTAATAATTTCTTTCTGGTATATATATTCCTTTTCCAGTTTCTGCAGTGAACGCTCCATGTAAAAATGGAATTGCTAAGTCATTGGCTTCTCTAAATTTGTGGGTTCGTGTTTTGGCAAATTGATAAGGCCAAACAGACTCCATTTCTTTTAATGTATCAGTTTTGAAGAAATAACAATGATGACTAACATATGGATGTTTAACAACTTCTCCATTGTGAAATTTATCATTGACCAATTTGTTAGAAAATGAAACACTTTTATGCCAACTATTCTTTTTTGCTTGTTCTTCTTCTGGAGCACTCCATCCATTATAATAGATGTTTAATAATCCATAATCATTGAAGAAATGTCTTATATCTAATTTTTTGCCTAATAACATATCATCATTTAAATAAAGAAAACATGATGATAAATTTTTGATATTATGAATTGATACTTCTAGTGCGTTTGAGTTAAATACTGGCAAATCTTTATTATTAGGGAATATTTCTTTATGGTCAACTATTCGTAATTTGTAGTCTCTAAAAGTAAGAGATGAAGTATTTAAGAAATCAGGAATTTGTCCCATTGTAACAATATAATAATTCTTAATATATGGTGCAAAATTATATACAGAACGTATAGAGTATTGTAATGTATTGTAATCTCTATATCTTCCTGCACCTCCTTTTCTTCCATTTTCCTCAAGAGCCTTACGGAAAACAGGATCACTTCCATTAACCCATAACCAAACAGCATCAATACCATTAGGACATGCCTTATTTTTAATCGCTGGAACATCAAAATACTTGACGCTAGCTTTAACTCTTCTATCAATGATACTAAACTTGTTTGTTCCTTGCATCATTATTCCAAAATTAGCTACTACTAATACAACTACAAAGCAAATAGAAATACATGAAGTACAACACAGTGGATTTATCACCATCTTATTTGTTTTAAGTTCTTTTCTTTTTCAGAATAAAAAAAATTAATAAAAACAAGACATAAAACATGCATAAATACATCTTAACTTAAATCAAATGCATTCTTTTCGAATGGAGAAGGCTCTGAATAATATTGATTTAAAAATTCATTCAATTTTTCAGTCTCTGACTTAAAAATATTATCATTTCCAGAAAATCCATCATTTAAACAAATACATTGAGGATGACTTTTTTGAATATCTTTATACACTTTCAAGTTATTTATTCTATCTGATGTGAATGAGCCATAGTAATAATTTCTTTCTGGTATATATATTCCTTTTCCAGTTTCTGCAGTGAACGCTCCATGTAAAAATGGAATTGCTAAGTCATTGGCTTCTCTAAATTTGTGGGTTCGTGTTTTGGCAAATTGATAAGGCCAAACAGACTCCATTTCTTTTAATGTATCAGTTTTGAAGAAATAACAATGATGACTAACATATGGATGTTTAACAACTTCTCCATTGTGAAATTTATCATTGACCAATTTGTTAGAAAATGAAACACTTTTATGCCAACTATTCTTTTTTGCTTGTTCTTCTTCTGGAGCACTCCATCCATTATAATAGATGTTTAATAATCCATAATCATTGAAGAAATGTCTTATATCTAATTTTTTGCCTAATAACATATCATCATTTAAATAAAGAAAACATGATGATAAATTTTTGATATTATGAATTGATACTTCTAGTGCGTTTGAGTTAAATACTGGCAAATCTTTATTATTAGGGAATATTTCTTTATGGTCAACTATTCGTAATTTGTAGTCTCTAAAAGTAAGAGATGAAGTATTTAAGAAATCAGGAATTTGTCCCATTGTAACAATATAATAATTCTTAATATATGGTGCAAAATTATATACAGAACGTATAGAGTATTGTAATGTATTGTAATCTCTGTATCTCCCATCTCCACCCCTTTGACCATTTTCCTCAAGAGCTTTATGGAAAACAGGATCACTTCCATTAACCCATAACCAAACAGCATCAATACCATTAGGACAAAATTCATTTGTAATAATGTCAACTTTTTTATATTTAACATTTCCAAATACTTCAAAACCATTTTTTTTATAAACCTCAGCGTTTTTCTTTCTTTCTTCCTCAAATTTATTTTTTAATTCTTCTTCGAGTCTAAGAGTATTATCCTTAATATTCTTTTCATGAGAAAGGATTGGATTCATATTTAATTTGATTTGAAAACTTCCTTTTGTTGGTACTAAAGTCAGATGAATAATGAATATTCCTATGAAAAAAAATAATGAAAAACTAGCAATAATTAATGGAGTTTTTTCATTTTCCATTAAGACTTATTCTAATATTATTTTTGAGTTTTTAGATACGAGATAAAAAAATGATTATTCGTTTTATAAAGCAAAAATCATTAAAAATTAATAAAAATAGAATTGTTCAAAAAGTGAATAAAATAAAATTCATTTTATGCACCTTTTATAAAATAATTGGAAAAATCTTGAAGGGTTTTTATTGAAAAAATTTTAAGTTCAAGAAAGAATAAAATGGCTACTGCTAAGATTGCTGAAGCTGCTAAATTCAACTATCCTGATATTACTCTTAATTCTCATGATATGGGAGATTTTGAGCAAATGATGGTTAATGGATATGCACCAGTTAATACATATATGTCTTTAAAAGATGTTCAACAAGTAATAAGTACAGGACATATGTCTAATGGTACTATATTTCCTAAACCAGTTGTTTTAACTTTAACTAAACAAGAAATAAAAAAAATAGAAAAAGCTAAAAAACTTGCATTGAGAGGTCCAGAAGGTACTTTACTTGGTTTGTTAACACCAAGTGAAGTTTTTGAATTACCACAAGGAATTTCTAATAAAAGAAGAAATGCTACTATGGGAATTACTGGTAAATTAGAATTTGTTGAACCACCACCTCATTACGATTATACTGAATTAAGAAAAATTAATAAACCAACAAACCCATCTATTTTCCATGGTATCGCTTCTCCTTTACTTAAACCATCTATTGACCAATTAAAGTCTTTAGAAAAAGATGGAGTTAAACCACATATTGATATTAATGTTCTCAATATTCCAGCACCTCATCCATTAGTTAAAACTACTCAAAAATATTTCAAAGACATTACTGTTACTTCTCACCCACATGATTCTATTAAGTCAGAAGATGTTATTTTAAGAGGAATTATTGCTAAAAATAGAGGATTTAGTCATTATCTCGTTCCACAATGTTCTCCAAAAGAGGTTTCAACTTCTTTGAAAACAATTGGTATTAAACCAGTTGTTTCAGCTACTCCATCTTATTTTGATAAGATGTCATCATCTCAATTAATTAATTCTATTCGTGATGGAACTGCTCCAAATGAATTATTATCTAAAGAAGATTTGGATACTTTTAGTGAAATTTATCCACCAACTGATAAACAAGGATTAGTCTGTTTCTTTACTGGTTTAAGTGGGTCTGGAAAGAGTGTAGTTTCAAATGCTGTAATTGAACGATTAAAACAACACACAAATAGACCAATTTATCTTCTTGATGGAGATATTGTAAGAACTAATTTATCTTCAGAACTTGGATTTAGCAAAGCACATCGTAATATCAATATCTTAAGAATTGGATTTGTTGCAAGTTTATTAGCTCGTTCTGGTGCTATTGTTGTTTGTGCCCCAATTGCACCATATCGTGAAATTAGAGATGAAGTTAGAAAGATGGTATCTCAATATGGTAACTTTGTTGAAATTCATAACGCTACTCCAATTTCAGTTTGTGAAGAAAGAGATAGAAAGGGTCTTTACGCAAAAGCACGTGCTGGTATTATTAAAGGATTTACAGGAATTGATGACCCTTATGAAGCTCCATTAAACCCAGAAATTTATTTGAATACTGCTGGTAAGTCTGTTGATCAATGTGCAAATATTGTTATTGACTATCTCACAAAGAAGCAATACATTAAATGAATTGTTATTTGATCAAATTAAAAAACAACCTAATTTTTATTTTCAACAAATACATAAATTAATTTTAATATAAATCCATATCTTCGAAATTAGTTATAAAGTCAGCAAATTGATAACTAAATATCATATATTTCTTTCTGAATGAAGTTTGTATTTTATCCATTTCCTGTGACAATAATTGGTATGTTGAATAAGCTTTGTCACAACATGACCTTAGTCTTTGTAAATTTCTTTGTAATAATTGTATTCCTTCTGTATCATCATCCTCTCCACCAGGGAAGAAATTTTTGATAATACTTAACACACTAAAACTCTCTTCATTAATGATGTTTTGTGTCATGTATTCTCTCATTTCTTTTATTGCTTTTAAAGAACTAGTTCCATTTTTTTCACATTCACATACATAAAATGAAAGTGATTCAATCATTCTTTCTACTACTTCAATAGAATATCTCACTGGTGTTAATACTTCATCATATTGTTCAACTACAATCGATCTTCTTAACCCACTTGGTAATGAACTTTGAGTTTTATAAATACCTTTAACAGCAATAATATCCATCATTTTATCTGAGTCTCCTTCAAAAATTTCGTAAGTAAATTTATTAGCAGTAGTAATTTGAGGAACAGGAACAGTTTGAACTTCTTCATTTATTATTGGATAAACTTGTTGTGGTTCAACAATATCATACCCAATAGTTTCACACATTTTTAAATACATTTCTTTAAATTCTTGTTTATCACATGGAGAAGCATAAACAAATTGTGACTCTCCAATCTGAACAAGATAAAATTTATAATCAATAGAACTCCCATTAGCATAACCTAAGAAAAATTCTGCCATTTGTTGGTGTATTGTAGCTAATTCATCAAGCATATTATTATTTTCAAAAAACTCTTTTAACATTAAACATACTTCTACTCCAAACCATGTCATTTTAGCTTTTCTAAATAATTCAATAGCATGATATGCATGTGCTAATAATAATTCTTTCGTAAATTCTAATGGAACTTCATTGATGTCAGTTCGGTCAATCAAAAAATCAGAACAAATACTTGCTAAGTGATTAACATTTAATATACCTATATCATTTCCTTTTGTAACTCTATAAATGTAATAAACAGCTTGAATTTCACAAATTCCTGCTTCTAGATAATATCCAAATTCAATCTCTTTTTCAATAATGTTATTTAACCATGACAAATGTAATAACGGACTTGAACGATATTTAACACATAATGCATAGTATCTTTCTGTTAATTCATCTATTTGATATTTTCCTTTAAGACTAAGTAATCCCTGAAGTTCTAATGACACAGAAAATATTTCATTTCCTACAGCATGAATAGACTCAATTAAATTAGATGAAGAATTACAACTTGTAATATAAATTGGTGTTCGTAACATTGCAGAAATATCAGTTAATCTAAATGATATACTTGTAAGGTTTGATAATTCTGTTTTAGAATCACATTTACTTAATCCCTTCTTTATTAATTTTTGATATAATGTTTCTAAACTTTCTTCCATTCCAATGTAATGAACATATCTATTAATTCCAATTATTGACCCACAACTCATTTTACTTAAGAAATGATATGCTTCTTTTGCTTTATTAAATGCTTTAAATTCACTCCGTTGAGTTGTTAATAAACATTGTCGAGATAATGATATAAATTCATCATAACATTTAGCATATTCTTTTCTTTGAGTTTCACGTTGTTCTTCCAAAGAACATCTTTTTCTCAAATCTCTTACTGTTTTAATAATTTTTTGATGAGGTATAGCAGCAATAATTTTATTGATCTTTTCCATTAATTCTATTTGTTGGGGAGTTTTAAAGACAGTTTTTTGTAATTCATGATACGCTTTTATTTGTTTTTCTTTATTTTGTTCAATAATATTTAACATTCCAACAAATATACTAAGATAATCATTTGGTTCAGGTGGTTCAAAAGATAATAATATTTGAGCAGAGTATGCCCACTCAAACACACCATATAATTTCTCCATTAACATTTTATTTTCTTCATGATTTTTATCAGACTCATTAATTTTTGATGATGCTTTTTCTGAAATATATAATAGTTCAACTATCTTCGTTAACAAGTCTTGGGCTTTCTCGTTATTTTTCATTAATTTAAGACTTTCATTATTTGATTCAATGCAACTACTTAACTCAGGCATCATTTTATATATTAATTGATTATGTTCAAATGAAAATTGATTATCAGGAAGAACATAACTACCAGAAAATTTTACAGAAACTGGAGTTACAATTGTTGATGTTCTTTTTAATATACGAGGAGTATCTCCAGACATTCGTTTCTTTTTTGGAGTTATAGTAGAAACTGACCTTGTATCACCTGTTTTTCTTGGGGTTAATCGTGGAGTTTTTGGTTCATTCCTCAAGAACGAATATAAATTACTAAATTGTATTGACATCTCTCTTAGACTCTTTATTCTTACAACTTTACTTTCATTAGTCATTTCAGGTAATGACCTTTTTTTAGAATGGAACTTTTGTGTGTTTAGTGTTTTGTACATTTGAAAAATATCAGAAAGTTCATCTGGAGTTACTGGGAATAATGGATTACAATCCACTCCAAACGATACGAGTTCATCAAAACTTTGTTGATATTGATTTAAATATGACGCACCTTTTCTAATATTTTCAGATGTTACATCATTAATACTATTTACTAGATGTTTAAAGAAATTTGTTACAATTTCTTTACATTTACTACATTGTTCCCTTAAAGCTCCAACTCGTTCTGTAGAATTTTTACAATTTCTTTTTATTGAATTATGAAGATCCATATAACATTCAAACAATGATTTCATACGTTTTAATTGTTTCATAATTTCTTCTTGTTCAGAATAAAATTTAATGGTAATTGCTTCAATAGTATCAATTTGTTCTTCTTTTAATTTCATTGTTTTAAATAATAATAACACAATACTTAATTGTATTTCTGTTTCTCTGCCAATGACTGAACCTTCCATATGTTTGATTTCATTTAATAATTCTATTCTTTTTTCTAAAATCTCATTAAAGAATACAACACAATCTTCTGCATGTCCTTCAAATATAGCAGTATCAATTGTTTGAACTTCTAGACATAATTGATTACTTTTAACCATCTCTAATGCTGAACTATTTCTTTGTTGTACTAACATATCAAACATTGATTGTAACCGAACAAAAGGAACGCTTTGAAGAAAATATACTAAATTTGGTAGTCGTTGGAAATCACTTTTCCCATGAAACAAATAAGTAATCATTGCATCTCTTGTAGTTGATACACTTTGCTTAGAAACATAATTCATAAAACATAACAACCATATAATTTCCGCTGCTCTTGGAGCAACACATTCATGAACTCCTAAAACAATTCGCATTAAAGCTTGGATTATTGGTGAAATTAAAGGTACAACTTCATCTCCACAAACTCGAATAAACTTCTCAAGACCAAAAAATGATAAATCAGAAACTAATGCATTATTATTTAATGCTAATGACAATTCTCCAAATATTTTCCCTGTCATTTTACGAATATCTTCATTTTGGTCATGATACAAAAAACATAATGTTGATGCTTTAGATACAATAGTGTTAATCATTCCATACAAATAAACATTTAATACTTTTTCATTATTGATTCCAGTCTTTTCAGTTATAAATGATTCTTCCATACCTCTTGGTGTTTTAATAGTATCTCCTTCTGTTTGTCTTCTTTGTTTATTTCTTGGTGTTTCTAAAGGTAGTCCAAACATAAATTCAATAGCAGGCAATCTCCCATTTTTCTTGTCTCCTTCTTCCAATGACTGAATCAAACTATTTTGTTTAATCATTCGATTTAATGGTTGTGATATTTGTATAGCAGTTGAAGTCCTTAAACGAGCACTTGACTGTGGCTCATTAATAACAAAGTCAGGATGTTCTAGTTGACTTATTTTCAACCCAGACTCTTCTTTTTGGATTTTTTTCATTTCAAGTTTTGGTACTTTAAGTTGTTTTAGTTTGGCGTTATTATGTGATTTATTTTCACTCACACCTCTGTTTGTATTAGACTCATTTCCAGGTGTTATAGTAATCTTTAACTCATCACTATATATCGGACTTTCGTATGGTTGTGATTCTGTAGTACAGGTATTAGTTATCAGTGGTGATGAACTATCACTAGTGCATTGTGATTTCATCAATCCAGTCTTTAGTTTTGTTATTCCGTCTTCATGTGGTCGAGAAAAACTACCTTTCCTTCTTCGAATAACTTTAGGTTTGTACATTAATTCAGGATTTTGATTTGAACTCAATGCCCTAGCTGTTTTAGCTAACTCTGAAGTTGGAGTGTCTTCACTACATTCTAACATAATTTCATTATTACTTTTTCTTGAAGAAAGTGTTTTTCCTAATGAGTCATTATTTTCATTTAATGCTAAACAAGGGCTTCTGTGTTGAGACTCTGAAGACGATTGTTTATAGCAAGGGATTGTATTTTCTTGTGAAGTTTCAAGTAATATATCAGCAATATCTAAATCAGCTGATTTGAACAAAACATTATTTTTTTGGCTTGATAACCTTTTTGTATTTGTTTTTGGTGGGGAAACAGACTCATCAAGTTGTAGTTTTGGTGCACTTTCAAACCGTTGTAATAATGGTTTATTCCCATTATTTGGTAGCGTCCTTTTTTTTGTTGAACTGACACCTTCTTGAATTTTTGTTTCTTGCGTTATTTGCACATTTCTATTGACTGGTTGTGGACATACATCATCCGTTGGTCCATATATTTCTTTAGCAGCTTCAAATCCAATATTTTTTGGTCTGTCAACAACGGTTGAACTTCTGATATTTAGTCTAGGTAATGAAGTACTTTTTCTATTAATTCTAGATCCATAAAAATATTCAGGATGGTGTTTATCTGATGACACTTCTTTGATATGAGATTCTTTTTCTTCTTCTTCTTTGACAGTAGTTGGAGTAATCTCGTGAGAGGGTTGGTTTGGCTCATCTTTTAATAATACTTTATTAGGCTCTTTCTTTTCTTGTTCATTTAGGTTATCAATGGTGTTTTGTTGCTTTTCTTCAATTTCTTCTTCTTGGCTTTTCTTGTCACTGAAAGCAAATAAAGAAAATTTTCTTCTTCTCTTTTTCTTAGGAACTTCATCATGTTTTTCTTGTGTTACAGAAGATATTTCTTTGGTTTGTAATTGAGGTTGTGTTGAGTTTTGAGAAGAAAGTCGTTTTTGAAAAGGAGTAATAACAGGCAGTGAGCCACTAGGAAGAACTGGTGTAGATGTTTCTTTTGTTGTGTTATGCCTTTTCTTTCTTTTTTTATCTGATTCTAAACTTTCGTCTTTAGATGTTATAGTCATCCCTCGTGGTTTTTGAATGAAAATAGCACAACTTGTATTAAAAGTATAAAGAGATCGAATAGTAAGTAATTCTCGTTCAAAAAATTTCATTAACTGAATAACCAATTTGTTTCTTAAAAAATCATATAATCCTTGTGTTCCTTGCATGTGATGGTCCATTGGTTTAAATAAATTTTGGCCTATATAAAATAGTTGTAATAAACGATTTACAGTAAATGGTGTAATAGTTCTAATATAAGTTTGTCTAAATTCATCTGATACTTCATTGATGATATAGAAAAAACAAAGAAATAATGCTCTGAGAGCAAATAACTGATTGGGGTTTGAAGTTCCATTTGTGTTAAAAAATACTTCGTATGACCACTCTTTAATAACATCAAACTCATCTATCATTAATGATATAAGTGATGAAAATTCTTCTGCTGCAACACTTCTATATTCTTGATAAGCAACACCAATATCAAATTTTTGAATAAGTTCTAATAAACACAATGAAGCCATTATTCTAATATCATTTTTATGATAAAATATTAAATGAGTTATACTGTAAACGAAGAAAGTAGCAAGAAATTTGCTTTGACAAAATGTATCATTTAATGTAGTAATATCATTGTTATGAATAGAAGGACAATTAATTTCTATCATCAATGGATAATCTCGTATTACACATAAAAAATCTAGTCTCATAATTTCATATACTGTAGAAAATGATAAATCCATTTGTTTATCTAATTTTATTGCATTTCGTTCACAAAGTAAATTATAATAATATGAAATTGTTTGACATACAAAATCTTTATTCATTACACTAAAAAGATCTCTGAATAATTCAGCAACATTTAAATTTAATTCAAATACACCTCTAATATCTCTTTTTGATATATGAATGTCTATTCTAAATACAATTAATCCTAATAATCTTTGAAGTAACTTTTCTATATTCTCTATTTCTTTAATTTCTTTATCTGCAACTACACAAGATTTAATAAAGCATTGAAAGAAAAAGAATGTTAATTTAAATTTGTTATATTCTGATTCTTCAAAGTTATTAAAACTATTAATGACATCTACGAGTATTAATTTAGGTAATAATTTGAAATTAGAATTAAGTTCTTTGGGGGAGAAATGGTCATTTACATAATCCACTAAAATAACAGGTCGAATTTCATCTTCAGTGAAGAATTGTTGAAGAATTGGATTAAAATTATACAACTCGACAAACTCAATCATTTCAAACATTCTATCTAAAATAGTATTAAGATATGGTGCTATAACTTTAGCATCCATATTTTTTACAGTTTTAATTGCTTCAATTATTGTTTCTTTATTGTCTGAATTAATAAAAGAATGAATAATATGAAGTCTTGGATAAAATGTAGCTACAGAATTTAATTTTATTACTAATGTTCTTTTAGATGCCCCTTTTCCATTAAAAGCATCATTTAAAAATTTGTCACCACTTCCTTTGTATATTGCAATTCGTTGTTCAATTCCACTATCCATAATACCTCCATTCTTTGAAAATAATGGAATAAATGCAACACTATCAGTATTATCAGACATTCTTATAAAAATGAATAAATTTGTTTGAGGTGGTTTAGGTAATTCTATCCTAATTTCTTTCATAATTGGAATTATTTTATCATTTCCTTTGAAAGAAAATACAATTTTTTTTTCTGGAACAATTGAATAATTTGGAATAAGTAAAGCGTTAAGTGGTTCACCTCCAATAGTTTGTTGCAATGATATTTCAATTGTTCCTGTAATTTTTCGTTCACGTGACAATAATAAGTCAATAAGAGTTAGATATAATGAATTACTGATTGTTGTCTCACTTCTAAATACATGAGACGGTGACATATTTTGAACTCTAAATAATGACTGCTTCTCACTAGTTTTTATTTGACAAGTAACTGTAGATGGTGAATCATTATTATTAAATAATCTACTCCTAGTACTTCTCATTCGTTGATGTTTTCCACTTCTTGGTGTAACACTTTCTTGTGTCTCATTATATAACTCTTTAATTTGTGTTGCCTCAATAATTCGAAACTCTGACAATGGATTATTAATATCAGGTTTATTAATAAGATCCCAACATACACTCCATTTCCCAGGAACTTCATTATTTGGAGGTGTTTTAACAAATTTAAATACATCTGTTTCTTCTTGTAGTTTAACTGAAAAAAATTTTAAATCAGTTAAATGTGTTTTTTGAGTTATGGATACAATACGAACTGAACCAATTGCAATTTGTTGTAATGACATCATATTAATTGATTCATCTTCTTTCTTTTTAATTTTTTCTATTGCCTCTAACTGTCGTTTACTTTTTTTAGAATCATTTTCATCAATTCCTTCACTATACAATACTCCAATTAGACTATTCCCATCGTCTTTTCGAAATACTTGAATGACTAAATAATATTCATTCTTTTCTATCTTTTCTAATTCAAATAAAAATAAGTCTTTTCTTAATTCTCCATTTGTAATAAAGGTATAAACATTTTCTGTTTGTTTTTCTCGTGTTTTATAATTATATATTGATAATGAAATAATTAAAGGTTCAAATAATCCAATATTAAATGTAATACTTTCTATATTAATTGATATCATTTGTTTTAATACATGAGGTTGTTGAGCTATATAAGTATTCATACTATCATTTATTTGTAATGTTGGATTAAAACATTCAAATAAATGAATTGTTTTAAATTCAAATGGAATAGGTTGTGAATATGTTGTTAAACGTTGTTTTCTTAATTGAAAGTCTGAACAAATTTCATCAAATTGAGGAGAAGAAAAATATTCTTGCGGAATATTTTTCTTAAATGATTTTCTTGGTTTAAGTAAATAACATTTACTTCTTTCCAATGACTGAATAAATCTTTTTTGAAAGCCAGTGATTCCTTTAATTTCAATTGGATTATTTTGAACAATTGTTAATTTATAAAGAAATAATGATGCATTAACATGTTGTTCAATTGAAAATGGTTTTAGTTGATTCTTTATTATTTCTTCTTTATTTGTTTCTACTAATTTTTTAAAACCACAAAAATTCTTTAGACTAATATGGCATGACTCTTCTCCCATTGTTCTTTCATGAACTAATTCTTTTATTGTCATGTCAGTTACGTCAACACCAAATTCGTTTTTAATAAATTTTTTTATTTCAATTGTATCAAGAAAACCACGTCTTTCAAGGTCATATTTCTATTAGTTAGCTTTTATTATTTTTATTTATGATTGTAAATGATACATTATTTAATAAAACATACATTAAATTCTTGCTTCAAACGTACTGTTAATTCTTCAAGGTTTTTATTTTTTCGTTTATGATCACTACTCTTTTCTTCATTAATTTTACTGGATGATTTAATGTGTATCTGTTTCATCCTTAAACAAGATAAATTTAGTTAGATCTGAAAATCCTCATACAATCAGATAGAATCTTTATTTCTTATCTTTTTTCGTCTCTTTTTTCTTGGTTTTTTTTTTTATGTCTTTTTTTTTTCTTTTTTTTTTACATCTTTTTGTCTTTTTCTATAATATTTTATTTATTAATATATTTATAATAAATCTAAACTATTTAAAAATTATACTAATAAAAATGATTTTCATAAAAATTTTAAACTTACTTCTTTCTTATGAATAAGTTTATTTTTTTCTAAAATAAATAAAATAACATAAAATCACAAAAAATTGAGTAAACAAAATGACTTTATGTGATGAAGTATTATTAGTATTCTTCATCTGGATAATAGTGTTTATAGAGTTTCCATACCTCTTCAACATCTAAAACTTCGTCCTTATTTTCATCAAATTGTTCAAAATCAACTTTGAATTCATCAATTGTTTTTTTAAACCCATCATCCATATCTCTAAACATTTCATATGCATCATCAACGGTAATAACATTTTTTCCCATAGCATAAGTCTTAAAAGTTCTTCTAACATCAGCTTTAGAAAGTCCAACCATCTTTTTTAATACTGTAATGATTTTTTAGATTGATTCTTTGAAACTTAAATATAAATAATACCTTCTACACTCTTCCTTACTATTTTTACATTTAATCTTTTTTTTTTAGATTATTTGAATTTACAGTTTTACTTCTTTAGAAAACTCAAAACTCTAACAAAAAAGAATAACAAAAAGGGTTTATTGTTTTTGAAAAAAAAATAAAAGTTAAAATTTTTTCATATCAATCACATGCCAAAGGGAGGGAAAGCAAAAGAGTCAAAATCAAAGCAAAATAAAAAAGAAAAAGAAATTAAGAAGCCTAGTAAAGTTGCACAAACACGTGATGAACTTAGAAAAGAAGCTCAACATATTGATCAAAATGTTGATGCATTAAAACAATTAGGATTAATTGGAAGTGGTGTTGTAGAACCATCTACTGATTTAAAATTATTAACAAAAAGAGAGAAAAAGAAGTTGCAACAAAAAGCAAAGAGAAATAGAGGAACAAAGTTAGATTAAAGAAAACATTTGATTGATTAATTTCATATTTTTGTTATTCTCGTTTTTGAAACAGGGTTTTTTAGGGTTGAAAAATTGAAATGAAAACTTTATTCAAATTTTTAATACATCTTAAGAAATGAATGTTAAGACTGAAATAAAAGATGAATCAACTAGTAGTAGTGATGATGAATTAGTTGATACTCAATATGATCCAAGTGATATTACTCAATATGATTTAGCAATAAGATGGATTAGTTCTGAAGAATTTAGTCAAGAGACATTAACAAAAATACAAAAGATTTTATGTGAGGCATTAGAAGAAAGAATAGATTCTGTTAATATTATTACTGACTTATCACTTTTTCATTCAATTAATACTAAGTCAAATGACATTGTTTTGGTTTTCAAATTTACTGAATCAACTTGTTTTAAACAACTTATTTTAGGTCCAACACCTACAGACATTGAAGCTGTTGATAAATTTAGATATTATTGGGGTGAATCTTGTGAATTAAGAAGATTTAGAGATGGAAGATTATTATATGTTGTTCCTTCTGAACGTTTGTGGATGGAAACTTATTCTTGTAATGAATACTTTATTAAATTATTAATAACAAAACATTTTAATGTAAATGAAAATCAACTTGTTTCAAATTTAACTAGTATCACTAGTGCACTTCCTCCTTTTAGTCAATGTCTTGAAGTTATTGAATGTATAAGTGAACTATCAAATTTAATTAAAGACTTAAACTTACCATTATCAATTAATACAGTTAAATCATTTGGTAGTTATACTCGTTATACTTCATATTCAATTCCTCAAAGAATAAAGGATTATAATAAAATTCATCAATACATGCACATTGATTCTATTCCTTTAATCATTAAATTTGAAGATTCAAATAAATGGCCAGATGAGCTTCATGGTATTAAATTAATGAAATCGGCTTTCAGTATTAAAATTAAAGAGTTGTTAAGAGCACAAAGCATTCTTGGAAAGGTATTTCCAAATAGATTTGAATTGTATTATAAAGGATATATATTTAACATTTTATTTGATGTTCCACAAGAACTTGCTTTATTAAGAATGGGTACTGGAGATGATGTGGAAGATTATATAAATAAGTATCAAAGAATTCCATTAACATCTCTCTGGATGAGTCAATTTCCAGGTAAATATCCTGCATTAACTCAAAGTTCTCGTCTCTTAAAAAAATGGCTCAGTTCTCGAATGTTTTCAAATTATTTTAATGATGGTTTGATTGACGCTATGACAATTCATTTTTTCCTTAATGAACCAATTCATTCTCCTCAGAAATTCTTCTTAACTTTTATTGAAACTCTTGCTACTAATGACTCTTATCCCATTTATTTTGGTGATAGTTTTGATGTAGAATCTTCTCATGGCATAGTCTTCAACTTTGAAGATCAGCCAGAAGTGTCCAAATATCTAAATTCTATTGCACCTTCTATCAGAGTGGTGAAATATCTTTGTGGAGTTGCTAAACAATGTTGGAAATTGTTAGATTCTAATTTCTGTTTGAAAACTGGAGTTAAATTTAATAAGGCATTATTTTCTGCTCATTTACCAAAAGGAGGAATACAAATCATTTTAGATAAGTTGTTATTAACCAAACAAAATGTTAATTATAATGAGGCATGCACATCAAATACTCTCAGTTTATTAATGAAAGAAGTTGCTGTTATTGATTTCGACCCATTAAAACTTTTCACAAATGAATTAAATAGATATTTTGGAACTGACATTTTACTCTTTGTTGATCTTTTAGAAGGTAGTACTATTGTTTTAATGTTTAACCCATCAACTACACTTGGCAAGGTTATTACTGAAAAGAATGAATCTTGTGAGTTAAGTACATTACTTCCAAAAGAGAGTATTATGACTTATGGGGAATTAAAAAAAGTAATCAAATTGATGGGAGGGTCTTTGGTAAAAGACGTAACAATACTTTAAATGATTTGATTGATTATTTATAGAAAATTCTATTTTTTTGTTCCAATAAAATATCTGATACTATATTTTGTAAAAAGAAAAACTAATTAAGTATTAATAGAGTTAATTTCTATTATTCTTGCTTCAGCAGAGACTAGTCCCATCAGTGATTAATTTTCTAGTAATTCTACATCGTATGTTTAGTTGTGATAGAATCAATGTCTTATGTTATCTTTCATGTTTTTAATAACAGCACTTTTATTTCTTTTAATACTGTCAATTTCATTTTGAATTTGTTTGATATAAAAGCGGATATGAAGTAATAACACAAAGTAGAGGTAATAAATTGAATGACGTGCTTGTTAGAGAATAGTATAAGAAAATAAAAGTAATAAAGAGAATAAGAACAATAAATGAAGAAAAATACAGTAGATTGTGATGAAAAAATCAACTAATTGAAATAACTAATTGAAATGAGAAGGAATATGAATATACCTCAACAAGACACAAAGCATGAATGGAAAGAAAATAGAAAAGAAAATAAATGAGAGAATTGAAACAACAGAAAGACAAAGTGATGAAGAAACTATTGAGTTATAGATGAAAGTATTTGACAGACACTCATAGATTGTGAAAATAACAAGAAGTTCAAGTAAATGATGAATGAAATTGGAATAGAAATTGGAATTTGTGAAACCCACAAAGAAGAATAAACAATAGAAATGATAAGAATATCAAAATGGAAAGTACTTGGAATAGATAATGTTCAATTATATTACTAAAAAATATTAGAAAATATGAGAGATAAGATAGTCACATTATTCAATGAATAGATAGAAATACAAGAAATGATCAAAGAAAAAGAAGTGTTGACAAATCACTTGTTTGAATGTAATTATGAAAATGTTCACACCAATCATCAAGAATAATATAGAAAAACAACACATGAATAATGAAGTAAAATATCAATTAAACATAATCCAATATTGAGTTAAAAGAGGAAGCATTGAAGATAAAGAATGAAGTGTATGGAATTTAATTGAAAAAAACACATGAGAAGCAACCAAAACAAGATATTTATACTCATTCAACATTATTAAGAAAGTATATGAATCAGTAAATAAGAAATAGATAAAATAGCATTAAGACACTTCAAACAAAATTTGTAATAACAGAAATGATAAAAAGTATGTGCAAAAGATGAATTTGATGTAAATACAAATAAGAAATAGGAGAAGTTCAATTGAAATGTTGAATATTTCAAGGGTATTAACTCTTATCACTACTATTCATATTACAAATGAAAATAATATCAAATGTATTGGATGATATTAATGAAAAAAGAATGAAAGTAACAAGTGAAATAAATGAAGGAATGTGAAAAAGAATATCACAAAATACTTAAAACTCTTAAAGATATTAAAATGGAATTGAATATCAACAAATGTTGAATAGTTAAGAAATGAAACATAGAAATACAACAGAGTATGAAGAATGCATCATTAGTATATGAGGAACATCAATAAAAATATTTAGGAGTATTTCATTCTACAAGGAATAAGAATGTAAGATACATTAAGAATGTAATGAAAAGTATTGAAGAATAAATGGATGAGAATATGACTTTTTACGAAGAATAGAAAATGAAACAAGACAAACTAAAGACAATAGCTATATGAAAGAAATATTCTAAACTCATTATACAAATGAATGAAGATGAAAATATGTAATGAAATAATGAATGAATTTGAAAGCAAAATGACAGATCAGAGAAAGTCATGCAATGTATGTGAACAAAATAATGGAGAGAGGAAAGAATATACTCAATTGAAAGTATCAAACATTAGTGTTTGAAAACCAGCTATTTAACATGACATTACATATACAATATATCTAATATGCAAGAAAATAGTCACGAATGATACTATATTATTGAACTGCATTATTATAAAGAAAAATTACTTGTATAAACACAATAG